TGTTGTATATATAAGTATTACATATTAATAATACTTAGATTATTACATTTTATTATTTATAAATTTAAAACAAATTTTTAAAATGTTTATAACTTGGCCTGGAAGTGGGCTTAGTGCTCCAGAAAAGAAGTCTGAGGTAAGCTGAGAAGGTAGGGATCATCCTGGGGGCTAACTGAATGGAAGGGGGGAAAAATAACAAAATTGAGAATATATTCTTTTGACTTATTAGGCATCCACTATCAATCGTTTTATGAAAGGTTTTCTGCACAGCCGGAATGAAATAATGTCATTATGGAACCAGCTGATAAAGCATGAAGTTCTCCTGGAAAGCAGTGAACAGACCAAGTTTCTTCATTTTAGACTGACATCTGCAAAGAAACAATTTAATCTGACGGCAGCTTATTGCCACCTCAAAGTGGTAAGGTGATCAGTGGAGGGGATATTTTGGCAAAAAAGAAGAGCAGTGATGGGAACTATGAAGGGACACAGTAGAGCAGCCTTTTCTGAAATGAACATCTTCCAGGTGGATGGACTTGTCCTCCCAGGATTCTCAGCAGTTGCCATACTGGATGGGGGAATTCTGGGAGTTTGAAGTTCACTCTTGTGGCAGGCATCCAGGCTGAGGAAGAATAGATTAGAAGTTTATCAGAATGCTCCATGATGTAGGGAATAGGAGTGGACTTTGTTCCATCTTTATTCTGTAGTAACAGAATTTAGGAGCTTCAGTTGCAAGAGAATCCAGAATAGACTACAGGGAGTCTTTCTATCAAGTGTCAGGCTTCTCCCAGAAAGCTGGATTGGCAAGACGTAACCTGGCATTGAACGATGCAAGAATTTCTTATAAGTAGATTTAATGTAGAAAAGATAAAGAAGTCATTGAAGGAATTCCAGCAACTGCTGTGTATCAAATGTGAACTCTATAATGAAATCAAGGTCCAGATTCTTGCATCTTCTTCTTCTGCCTGAGTGATGCAATGGGCTAGAAGCCAATCTGCTGGAGGTGGATGAAACAGATTCTAGCTATCTCTTTCTTTGGTAACAGACTGGTCTGGTATGAGAGTTTGAGAACTGCTGTCACACCAAGATTTATTTGTTTGTTGGTTGGTTGGTTTGTTTATTTATCTTAGAGGAAGGGGCAACATGGACAATTGCCCCAGGCCCCATGCATGGAGGAGAGTCCCTTCAAAGTAGCATCCATGCCATTTTATATTTTCCCACTCTAGCCTTTCTGCCTTGTGTTCAATAAATTAGTATCTTTCTCTTTCCATTGCATCATGATTTTTTTCTTAGAAATCTTAGTAATGGCTTCTTGTTTTCAGCCTAGAAAGTCAAACATTTCTACATCAGTTTTGTGGACAGATCACAAGAACCCACCTCTTGTCCTGCGGTTTGAGGCACAGATAGAAGAAGTGAAGAAAGAAAAAATGCTTTATCAGAAACGTGGAAGCCTCCTGTTTAGGTACGTTGGTTCCCTTCCCATCAGTTCCTGCTCATGCACATTATAATTTAGGGCAGCAGTAGGCTACCTGAAGTTGGGTGAATTCATTCATTCATTCATTCATTCATTCATTCATTCATTCATTCATTCATTTAATCCAATTTATACAGCTGCCCATCTATCCAAGAAACTCTGGGTAGCAAACAAAATAAAAACAGAGAATTTCATTAAAACAAAAACCAGCAAAAATTGTATTGAGGCTCCATGAAAACACAAAACCACTGGACACATATATTCATGCTAGAGTTCCCATACTAACATCCAGACCGCAAAGGAGGTATCACAGAAAGAATGGGATCTTCAACCACCTTGAGATTCAGCTGCACCACTGTTTGCTTCTAGGTTGTCCACCCTCATTAAGGGACTTCAGACCAGGAGGTGCTGTTGCTACTGATGGGTACAATTTATATCCTTTTTCTCTAAACAGTTAAACTTTGATGGAAACAATTCAAATGATTATTGCCTGATTCAGATCAAAAAGTCCTAGTTAAACAGAAAACCTCAGATATCTTTCCTAAATGAGGCTGATGACATTTCCCCAAGTACTTCCCTCTTTCATCTCCTTCCTCACCTTCCAGTACCAGATGGTGGCTCTGCCAGCTTTACTTTTTCTATTTTGAACTCCTAAAAGAGTTAGCCATCTTGCTGAGGGTCGCTGTAGTCCTGCTCTATGTCTTCTTCATTTCTTGGGGAGGCCTCTCAGCAGCCCATATATCCATCTCAGCCAAGATCCCTGTTTCTTTTCCTTTGCATTCTAGGCACCCGCTAAATCTCCCCATTCCACAAAGCTTTCTTCTCCAGGAAACATTTACGGTGGACAAGAAGGAGAAGTACTATTCTTTGGAAACCAAAGTGGTGATTAATGAACTGGAAGACTCCATTCAGACCCTCACCTTGGGCTATCCAGCTAAAAATCCATATGTGAGTGATGGTCATGGACAAAAAGGGTGGGGGAGTGTCATTTTTGCAATTTTCAATAGCTGTGGAATTATCTTCCTTCCATCTCCAGATATGTGCAAGATTGACTCATCCATATAACAGCAATGTTTTTCCTAAAAATACAGAAGCATGCATTATGGTGCGGAATCTCATCCATGTAAGTTGGAGGCAGAAAAGTGGGGAACAAATTGCTAAATGTAAATTATGGACTCTGTGCCTGTTGGAGTCCTTCTAGTGATTGAAAATACAATGTTAGTGGGTAAGATTGTATTTTCTTACCCACAATAATAATTCAGGTTCTACAAAGATCTTGGGCAAATGGCTTCTGAGCATTCTCATCCTCTCCACATGGTCATCCCCGGTTTTTGGATTGCTTTCTTTCCCTGGGATCCTACAGGTGTTGCTGAATTCAAACCCCCAGTAACACCAGCCAGCATAGCCAAAGGAAAGGGATGCTGGGAGTTGTAGTTTAACAACACCAGAGGTCTACAGATTCCCTGTCCTTGCTTCCCAGAGTCAAAAATGATAAGTGAATGGGCAGCACTAGTGAGCACATGTCCAAGGAGAGAAGAAGGTCTCACTAGGCAGCTCTGAAGCCCTCTAGAAGGCCGTGAGCCTTGACTCAACAGGGCTCAGTCCTAGACTCATGTTGTCTTAGCACCTTTGATGATAAGGCTTTCCTTATTATGGCACTAGTCTTAATGTTTGAGTTCTGCATGGTCTCAGGTTCCAGGTTTAGGTGCCTCTTTGTTGATCCAGCAGTTTCAAACCCTGAAACTATCAAACCCTACAGGCTAATCAGGAGCTTGAAGCAAAGCTGAAAATCAATCAAGAAGAAGTATTCAGCTTCCTGGGCAAGTATCAGAACAAATCTAGCGTGGCCCAGTCCCACCATCTAATACAGCTGGATATCACCCATTCGTTCCAGGTACATATATCCCTATTAACAATTTAGGATTAAAAACTCTAACATCGTGGTCTTTGGTCCTGCTTCTTTTGAGAGCTTTATCAACTATTTTAGAATTGTTTTCAGGATATAGTTCTGCTTCTTCTCTCCTTTGCTTTATTTATCATGGGGTGAGGGTGGGGGTAAAGAGGGTTACTTGCTAATGTACACTGCTTGAGCAATCAGTATCAACCCAAAAGTGCTCCAAATATACCATGTTCCAGGTTAAATCTATGTAGTTGTGGGAAATTGCATCTGCATTAGGAGATATGTCTTCTAACCTACTCAAGAACCTTGATGGTCAAGAAGTCTTGAGATTTATATTGTTGGAAGAGGCAAATCAGTGGTTTGATTATGAAAATTACAGTCCTGTTACCACGATACATCTCAGGTCAGGCTTCATACTGCTGTTTCCCACAATGCAACGCATCATAATTTAACTAGTTAATCTTACTTGAATGAGAGGCGGCAGCAGTCTGAAACAGATGCAAAAATAATTCGCCACTGATTTCTCTGGGAATGCATTTAATTCACTTAAACTGACCTTGGTTCCCCAAAATTCCTCTTGGTGAGAGATGCATCTAAAAAAGTAGACATATTTCTGAAAGTTACATGCATAAAAGCATTGTTACAATCACACACACTGCAACTTTGCCAGTTTTTGCACCTTTGGAGAAACTGAATATAAAAACTCTATAAGTTGGGGAATTTGCAAATGTCAGTCAAATGCAGATTTCTCTGAGGATCTTTATTAAAAACGTGGAGGAAAAAAACCAGACTATTTTCTACTACTGTAATAGTAAATATGTGGATTTATACAAAGTCCTACTTTGAGGTGAACCACAAGCTGAGATTTAGATATACTGGAATAAGCCAAAAGTCAGATTTGTAGAATGACTCAACCAGAAAGGAGGAAACAGAAGCCAGGTTTGGAAGTAAGTCAGAATCAAGGAAAAAAATACCAAACTGTGTCTAGGAATCCAACATTTCTAGTGGGTTTGGAAATAGCTGATCTGTGTTCTAACTGTAGTTAAGCTTTACCTTCTCTTAACTCCTTCTTAAAAAACATTTATTCCAACAGTTCAACATTTGGTTTAATGGATCAGACTCTGCATTTGAACTCTGTTCTCAATTTCCTCAACAGAATTGGTCCCATTTTCCACAAAGTATTCAGGTACTGAGAAATATATTCCCCACAGTCATCTGTAATCATTTATGTTTACCCTTCTCCATTCTTCTGCCCCAGTTATATCAATACACTAAACCAAAACACCAAATCAGCACCATGGTGGGGTCAAAAAAGTCAACACGGTGACCTCAATCTCACTGTTGGGACCACCATCTTGACATTTTTGACCCCCTGGTGGACACTCCTGGTGATACTGTGATTTGCAAAATGCACCCATTGTTTGGGAGCGGTATCCTTGTATTTTTTCCCCCTACCTTTCCAGTTCTCACCATTCTTCTTTTTGCATCTGGCCTGTTGATTTTGGATGAGGACCACCCAAGGACTTCAGTGTGATCTTTTGACTCTGTTTTCCTGGTGCGTTAGGCCCAGGCCAGTCTAAACTGGCATGGCCGGAATGGCCTGAATGGATCTTTTGACTTGCACACCAGTGGACGGAATCTGGTGTTCCTGGAGGCCAATTTTGACAAGGAGATGAGAAAGAACATCCGAGCCATTCGTGTGAGCGCTGCCCTAAAGCAAGACATTCTAGATCGGTTTAAATATGTGTGGCTGCATTTCCTGACTAAGGTGACACCATCAAGGTAAAAAAAAAAAGGACGGGGTAGCCATCCAGCGACAGCTTTAAAGAAATGTTGAATCCATAATCCTATAAAAGAAAGACAGGACGTCTTGGCTTGTTGAAATGACAAATGAGCTTGCTTTTTCTGCGTGGTGTAATTCACTTTGCAGTATTTAACCGATTCATGTGGCTTGTTCTATTTCTGTTAACCCAAAGGATTTGTGAGAGGCGTGTGTGGGGAGGCATAGAGTATTACCTCAATATTTTTATTTAAATGTTAGCTCAATTTATAAACCACGTCGCGTGTTCAAGTGACCCGAGGTGATGTCCAACATACTAAAACAATAAAAGAAGTAGAAAACCATAATCATCATCAACAGGAACCTATGTTATTGTTTTGGAGAAGAAAATACCAAGTACTAATAAAATCTCAGGATCTGTGCGGTCTTAAATTAGCTTGCCATGTTTTCTAAAGGACAATAGGGTGGGGCCTGTGCAGACTTGAGGATACAGTGAAAGGTAAGGTCAGGTCTCCTTCAGTTCCAGCTCAACCTTTGCTGACTTCATGGACACACCCATGGACTGTCTTCCACCATCTTCTTCTGAGCTGCTGGTTGACTTCCAGCATAGCCTACAGCTCTGTTATTCATGGTAGTCTTCCAGATGAAGTACTAACCTAGCTCAACCCTACTTAGCTTCAGAGACCAGAAATGATCAGCCAGGTGTTGTCACCTGCTGAAGCATTACTGCATGGGTGTGTTTGTACACATACACATCCATGCCTGCACATACACACACAAATATAGACTCAAAATACCTGTTGTTTCTTCTGCAGTTCTGCAGAATTGTAGACATTGTAGAAAGCTCCTTTACTTCACGGTAAAGTTATACCGGCTGCTTTCTTAGCCTTCTTAGGTTACTGTCAGTGTTGACTTTCACTGGCTTCTTCCTTGCACCAGGCTGCTGCTGTCATCATTGGTGAAACTGAATCAGCATTCCTTCCAGGTGGGCATTTCAGGATCCAAGGAACAGAAAGCGGGCCTTGTGGTGACCCTCCACGGCCATGTGCGACACAACCTTGAAAGCTTATGGCTCCTTGTACCTCAGGAGCTTTCCCTGAATAGTTCTCTGAAGCACCGAATCAACCTTAACGAAGGTACTACATCTCTACAGGGTTGGACAATCTGACGATCAGGGGCCCCACTTAACGCTTCCAGGTGGGACTAGGATTTTCAGCTTCTTCTTGCTCTGGGGAGAACAAATGTTGACAGCCTTTTGTGGTTAAGCCTTACTGTAATCATTTTCATAATTTTCCTGTCTCAAAATAGCTGGAAATCATACTCAATTTTTTGCAGATAGTAGACAGCAGAAGCTCCTCAGATGGTTAAAAATGCAGGGGGGCTCTGGTCCATATACCTCCCCTGGGCTGCCGATAACCCACCCCCTCTTTTCTTTGTTCTGTATGCATCTTCTACTTTCTTGAACACAGAATACTACTTGCTTTGACTGATGCCTGAACTAGAACAGAAGCCAGATGGGGGAAGTGGGTTTTTTTTTTTAGCCAGGCATGTATTAGGTCATGAGCTTTCAAGAGCTGGAATATACTTAATCAGATGCAACACTTGCTAAAAAGGGACTTTAGTCCAGAAATGTTTCATTGTTTCTTGGGGTGAAAGGCCCACTTCATTTTTCAATGGAGTGCCGGTGCTTACATTCTTAAAAAGCAGGAGGAGCCAGAACAAAAGTGGGTGGAGCTGGGCAAAGTGGGAGGAGCAGAGGCAAAATGTTGGATGGGTGGAATCATTTAAATTAGATTGTACTGGATTGGATTTTAATATTGGATTGCTCCCTGTAATTTGAATGATGTTCCTAACCAACTTTGTAATTTTTCAGTTTAGTCCAGCGTTTCTCAACCTTGGTGACTTTAAGATGTGTGGACTTCAACTCCCAGAATTCCCCAGCCAGTATGCTGGCTGGAGAATTCTGGGAGTTGAA